GCTCCTGTCCAGTTCTTCCAACCGCGCCCGAAAAGGACTCGATCCTATCTACGAATGCGATTGATGAGCTCTTCGAGGCTTTCAGCTGTGTTAGTAGAACTACTCTTCAAAGCTCCTGTTCTCTGAAAACTCAGAAAAGCAAAGGGACACCCTCGGTGAACTTCGGAGCTAACGGAGATGAGATCTTTGAGCAGAAGACTATTCAACAAAGCCCGTAAAAATGGCTGTGGTGACGACTTTGCGTTGTATAAGACCGGACTGGCCATTTACAAGTCCGTGTTGAAAAAAGCTAAGACAGCTTCGTGAAGAGCCTTCTGAGTCAATGTAGAAGTTTGTCACGAGTTCTAACGGCTTAGGCGCTTGGGGATATCTGAGAAATGTAGATAGCAGTTTAACAACGAGTAGCGAGGAGTCGTTGAAGCTACTTCTTGGTGCTCATTTTCCGCTGCACCGCTCTGCTGAAGAAGAGCCACTGGGGGAGCTTCAGGAGGGCTGTACAGCCTTCTTGGACCTTCTAGATGAACGTCACCTTACCTGGGCATTGAAATCATTCAAACCCTTCAAGTCCCGGGTCCTGATGGTATTATACCAGCGCAATTACAGCGGACAGTCCAGGTGTCATGCAACTGGTTGGCTCCTATCTTCGCGAACTGTGCTAGATTGGGCCACGTCCTTAAGGCCTGGAGACAGATTAAGGTTACGTTTATTCCGAAGGCCGGTAAAAGCTCTCACGTCGGTGCAAAAGATTTCACACCTATCAGCCTAATCTCATTTCTGTTAAAAACGTTGGAGAGACGTATGGATCTGTACATCAAGAGCAGAATAGCGAAGGGTTAACTGTTAAGGGCGTATCATGCCCACGACACAAGAAATTTGCAAGTAAATACAAAATGGTTTCATTTACTAGGAGGTATAAGATCGGGGGTTCACGACTCCAACCTGTTGATAAGGTGAAGTACCTAGAGCTTATCCTTGATAGAAAGCTTTCTTGGAGGCCAAACATCGAGAAGAAAGTTAAGAAGGCATCGGTCGCCTTATACTGCTGCAAGGGAGCTATAGGGAAACGGTGGGGATTCTCAGCAAAGGTGGTGTTCTGGCTCTACGAAACCGTAGTCAACCCAATATTGTTCTATGGTGTGTTCATCTGGTGGAGGGCGTTCGAAAGGGCTACACTGGCGAAGAAGCTTGAGTGGGTCCAAAAAGCGGCGTTTATGTAAGAATCTCGCCGTCAATCTTAGCTTCAGGCTACCGGACGACTGTAGTGTTTTTCAGGCTGAAGTGGCAGCTATCAAGGTGGCGGTAGAAGTACTGCTACGAAGTGAAGCTTCGTTTAGAGAAATGAACATTCACTCCGACAGCAGAGCGGTAATACTAGCTCTGAGCGCGCGAACCGTGCAAGCAAAGCTAGTCCAGGAGGGTCTGTCTTCACTATAAATAGCATCTGGCTACTTCAACATTAGGCTCGTTTAGCTGCCTGGTCCCAGCGGAATATTGGCAACTGCAAAGCCGATGAGCTAATCGGGGGGCCACCCTTGCCCTGCTCACATCGGAATGGGATCGAGTTGGATCTCCATTAACGTCCTGCATTCTAGCTGGTCGACGACCAACTCCTGTGCAACCGCGAGATCCTTTTGGCCGAGAGAGCTCAGGAGGTCGGGGGAACTTCTCTCCATTCGCAAAGTTCATGTCGTCTGTGATAGGAGTTCTCAGTGGACACTGTCCAAAGGCCACTCATGCGGTACGGATAAGAATAGTACCCGATGCTAGTTGCTAAAGTTGTATTGAGGAGGGTGAGGTGGAAACATCCCGGCACCTTCTCTTTCACTGTTCGACTTATGCTATGCTGAGACTGAAACATCTCGGCAATCACACTTTTGGCGGACCAGAAGATTTGGCCGAGACGGATATTGGCCGTCTTAACAAGTTTGTCATAGGCACAAAGCGCTTTGTCGACATGTAAAGGTCTTTTGATCTAGCCTAAAGGAGATTTTAGGTACCACAACGGACCGGCGCTTAAGTTGTCCAATTGTGATCCTTCTTAGGATCCACCTCCTAACCTAACCTTACCTAACCCAGGGGTATTCAAATCATTAAATTTCTAGTTTAAGATAAAAGGTCGCGACCAATTCCAATGACATTAATAATATTATATAATTATTAAAGAAAATTAATGTATAAATAATAATGGTAATAATGAATCAAGTAAGGAAGGCTTAGTTCGAATATAACCGAACACTTTATACTCGTTTGAGATTACTTGATATTTCATTTTTTAATCTAAAAATTGTAAAAATAATCATTATTTACGGACCCTGGTTGCGAGAGTATAAAAATGTTATTCTCCTAGTTTGGTTCAAATTGCTGGAGTAGTTGCTATTGCTGAGACATGGCGAAACAGCAACATAAAAAGTTTTCTCTGTACGTATAAAGTCGCATTACAAATGATTTTACTGAAAAAAGTCTAAATAATTCAATATATAAGCTTTAAAACATTCAATATATCCTTTATACAGAAGGTAGAGGTGGCTGTTATCCTATTGCACTCATTTTCAAAAGGTATCATGAAATGCTAAAGGGAACATTTCAATACCATCTTTGTAATACGATTGATCATTTGCTTCAAGTTTGGAGTCAGTCTCGGGGATTTCTTTCCAGCGACCATTAACTTTAGACCTGGTCTAGTAAGATTTTCTACCGTTAACGTCTCTCATGGGCTTCCTGAAAGTGGATTTCTTGCACTAGTTGAGTGCAATTCAAACAAAAATAATAGGTAGCGTCACTTAAAGGTTAATAATTGATCATGATGGAATTAAAAGATATTTGACCTGCCATCCAGCCACAGGCTTCATGTAATATATGGAACTTATTAAAGACTATTTCCATTAAAAGAAATTTAATTTCACTTATAGTTGTGGCTTGTAATTGTTTGTTAGTTATAAAAGTTTAAATCAACAAAATCGTTTTTGGATCGCATTTCCTATATGCAATATCAACATCTTCAGGGGACCAATAAACTTATAACCATAAAATCTATTCGCTTACTATTAGTTATAAAGTGGTGTACGAGTACCACAAAAATTATATACATATCACAAAACATGTAAGGTAAGGTTAAGTTGGAGGTGTAAACGAACATTTCATGCTCTTGCAACTTGCAAGGATCAAAGTCGGAGAAATACCTTCAGGTGTTAGCAAAATTTAATCCATATAAAACTCTGCGAAAGAATCCAACACTTATTGTTCGACGAAACCGAACGGACTCAACCGAAGACGTTAATTTTATATAATGGTCTGATGTTTAGACCACCCCCCTTCATATTCAGCGCTAACTATTTATAAAATTTCATAATTTTTAAGAAATTTGTCTATATCATTTCATTAAAATATTACCCATTTTTATCAACCTAAACAGTTTAAAGTCAGCTGGAAAGCGGAAACCACAATACACAAGATATTAGGTCTGGGCTTGTTGCATTAACCTTTGATATTGTTCAGGTATACTCGAAACATATTTTCAGGCAAATTTAAAAATAAATAACTCGACACTTGTATTATAATATAATTTCAGATGTTTTCGGTATTAAACTATAGTACATAGTATTATACGTTCAATTAATTTTGATAAGATATCTTACAGAGTACAATATACATATGTATACGGTATAAAGCTAGCCGGAAGTTTATCCATTTTAAGCAAGCGATACATTGTTTTTAAGAAAACTGAATTGGGATAAATCACCTATTGATCGGTATTTTCGGCATAAAGTCAGCCGGAAATTCGAAAATTTTTCTATTAAGTATAAGGGAACTAAGGGAATTATTAATCCGTTCAAACCCCTTTTTGGCATAATGGCATACTGTTATCAGGAAATAATTCTCTCCGAAATTCTATAATTTATGTCACAGATTGAATAATTTTGATAAGATTTGGACAATTATTCATAAAGTGGCACACCTCAGAAGCACTATTCATGCAAAATTGTATTCCGCTATATTCATTGGTGCTTGATTTGTATACTGCAGAGTGAAAGAATCAGTTGGAATTTAAAATTTTGTCATATGGGAAGTAGGCGTGATTGTAGTCCAAGTTGTAGTTGAAGTCGGTTGAGCAGATCATGAGTTATGGGTTTTCATCTAAATGTGGGCGGGGCCACGTCCGTTGTCCAATTTTAACATCGACTCTTATTAAGCCTTGTATCATCTCAGGTATAAAACTGTATTTGCCTGGCACATTTATTTATAGATTTATCGCGCTTTTAGAAGTTTTTAACAAAACCTTTATATGGGGAGCGGGTGGGATTATAATCCGAATTCACCTATTTTCCGGACAGTAGCGGTGCTGAAAATATCTATCCTGAGTGAAATTGGCAATTATAGCTTTAGCGGTTTAGAGTGATGTACATTAAACATATTAGAGCGCCACGCCCACTTCTTCAAAAATTTTTAAGCTTCGTATGCCCCTTCCTAATGCGATTCGTTATACAAAATAATAATTTTGTATCTTATTGTGGAGCTTCGTTATGGCATTAATGGCGTTTTATATATTCAATTAATGGCGTTTTTTGGGCGTGGCAATGGTCCTATTACGCCCATCTACAATACCAATATTTTCATCGTGCCAAGAAATATGTGTACCAAATTTCATCAAAATATCTCAATTTGTAATCAAGTTACAGCTTGCACGGACGGACAGACGGACGGACGGATGGACGGACGGACGGACAAACAGTCACCCGGATTTCAACTCATCTTTTTATCCTGATCATTTATTTATACATAACCCTAACTCGATTATTTCTAGGTGATACAAACAACCGTTAAGTGAACAAAACTATTATACTCTGTAACAACATGTTGCAAGTGTAAAATTGTTATATATCTTGTAAAAAATATATAACTTTTTTTCACAGCACTTAATTCTTAATAATATGATTAAAAAAATTATTAAACAATATGAAATAAGCAATAGTTAATCTCAGATTTTTGTAATGTTTATGTACCTGCGGGATCATAGTTAAAACGTGGTAAGCATACCGGTTTTATAATTTTCGAAAACGTCATTGGTTTCCTCAATTTTAGCAACGCTATATCATTGTTATAACTGTCGGGGTTGAAATTTCTATGTTTAATTATAGCACTTACAGCCCTCTGAATGGCTTTAGATTCAGATGTAATATGCTGATCGTGGTCTCCAAAAATAATCCGTATTTTAGATTTCCTTAGTTTTTTAACACAATGAGCTGCTGTTAAGACATATTCTTTTGTAAGCAGGGAGCCTCCACAGTGAAATTTTCCATCATATACTATACGAGCCATCCAAGGGTATTGATTAATACCTGTTGGTCTACCACCAACTATCCTTATTTCTTCATTCGAATATCCACAATCTAAAATTAGTTAAATCAAATATACTAAGACACATATGTCAACAAGTAAAACAAGAACAAGTAAAGAAAGGATATGTTCGGACATAGCCGACCATTAGGTTCTCTTTCAACGTTCATAGAACGTTGAACGTTTGTGCTAATTTCAAAGAATTAAATGTTTTTATTGAAGCGTAAAATAAGTTATGGATTTACATTTCATTAAATTGCAAATAGTAAAACGAATTATACTAACAGTAATATCTTTCACAGTTTATATGGTAAAAGTCGCTGTTTCAATCTGCTATTTCTAGATTCTCTTAGTTTTGTGGTTTCAGGGTTTACATGGTTCTATAACCTTGTTGCATATTTCGATGATCTTTCGCGAGAGGGTAGATCGTATTGCATATGTACCAAGGGGCATTTACATTTTTTCTCAAATCTTTATTTTGGAACCTTTGCATAAATTCGATGTATATGTGCGGTGCAGCGCATCCCCACAGTTAAATTCCGTATATCCAGATAGGTTTTAGGGTTTGATTATATATTAAGATTTTATTTAGTGTTACTAACCGATTCTTACCGATTAGCCAGCTTATTTAGTTTTAAGTTTAACTCTGTAACTTTTTTTTGTGTATGCTCTTTGCAGTTGAGCTTTACATTCAGCGTCATTTCAAGATATTTCGCCGTGGAGCACGGGATTACCTTATTTCGAATATATAAGTGGTATGGCTAGTACTTTTTTAGTGTAGATTACAGGTATTGACTTCATCTTGTTTAAAGTTATGCACCATCTCTGTGTCCAATTCACTATTTTGATAATTCAAGACTCTGTTCACTCTTCTTCATTTTTACCGGTCGTAATAATGCAGGTATCATCAGTAAGTATGGCATTTGTACAGTTTGTCGGCGTAGGCATATTATTAGTAAGCAATATGTATAGGGGTGGACCTAGGACAATTCTTTGAGGTACACTTGTTTATTTTGCTTGATTCTGAAGTAGCGGTTGCTTAAGTAAGAGGCAAGTACATCAGTTAGATTCTGTGGAAGCAGAAGTATTAATTTTCATATGTTATGTAGTAGTTGATGGCGTCGCATTCTATCGAACGCCTGAGATACGTCTAGAAAACTAGCTGTGCAAGTTTTCAAACAACAAAACAGTCAACAATGAGATTGGACGAAATGATTATGAATGCTTTTCCCAGGTTTTCGCATCATAACGATTTTGAAAACCTTCCATGACATTGGCATGTATCTGGAAATTTGGCAAGCTTTTATTATCCATGCCAGCTTTGTTAGTGCTTTGCGCGTTTTAATTTAGTTTTGATAAAATTTACAACTTCTTTATTTGTTGTTGGTTGAATTTCACTTTCAAATTACAAAGCTTCCATTTCTGGTAAGAAACCATGGAACGCGTGTGAACCAAATGTTTTAGCTAGTTTCTTTGGAAAAGCTTCAGCTTTTTCTTCGTCGCTTCTTGTCCAGGTTCCGTTGGGCTTTCTGAGAGGAGGATTTGACAAAATTAGTTTCCTAAAATTTTTTACAGCTTGTATCTGTATTTTTGTTTGGTGTTAGTTTCTTGATATAGTAAGAAATGTTTTCAATTATAAATTGTTGATTTTGTTGCTGAGAAGCCTATTTAAATCTTTTAGTTCTGTTTTACATTGAGGAAATCGCGTATTTGTCATATTTGCAGTTTTCTCTGTTTCTTTATGTGATCCAAAATACTTTCTAGGTTTTCAACATAAAAGTATTTTTTTTAAACAGTAGTACTTTTTCAAATCGATTCTTGAATAATTTTCTTAAATTTATCGACTTGATCTACCGAAATTTCTAATGTTGATATTTTTTCCTAAAGATCTATACAAGTACTTTTGTCCAGCATAACTTTGAAATAATCTCAATCCGGAGGGCGGTAGCTCGATCTCTTTTAAATGGTCATTTAGGATTATATATACTGGTAAGTGCTTGAATTTAAATCCAAGCAATTTTTAAGTTAATAAAGTCCTTGGATATTTGCCGAATGATGGCAAAATCTATCAGGTCTAGTAAATTTCTTGTGTCGATAAGCCAGAAAGTCGGCTTGTAGACATGAAATCAAATCCAGTTGCCAGTAGCCTTCCTTTATTTCTTGGACCAATGACAATGACGAGGTCTCGGTGGGATAGTTAGCGCTGTCGTTGTTAAGAATTTGGGTATGATATGGGCTGATGAATACTCAAAAACTTTCGAGTTTGCTCTGTTTAGAAAAATATGAGGAGATGAGATGAGATTTTCTTTAATTTTCTGAAGTTTTTCTAATAATAATTTTTCAAGTAAAGCATTTTTAATGCCGAATGTAGTCAATGACGCAATCGGTTTTGGAACTGTTTACCGTGAAAACTTATAAATACATGCATGTCAAAAAGTGCTGTTCTGCCAAAAACTTACCAATATGTAAAATTTTTCCTTAGACATTGAGAAGATATGTGGCTGATGATCAGTAAATGTATGGATATATTTAATTCCACAAAGGTTGTGCCTTAATGCTTTGAGCGCACAAACTATTGTGAGGAGCTCTTGTAATTCTATTTCGCTTTTGAGAGGCAGAATTTTCTTAAATTTTTGAAATATCATTTCAGTTTTTAAAAATACTATTGAATGTTTTCCCAATTTGTTCAAGGGGAGAGTACTCATCTTGAGATAAATATAAAGTTTTTCATTTAGACATGACGTGATTGTCCTATAAAATCTTTTAGTTTATTGTCAATATGCTGGAAAATACTTGATCCGTTTTTAAGACCAAACGGCATTCTAAAAAATTCATATTTATCGTTATAGGCATTCTTTCGTGCTCACTACAATGTGATAGAGCCCTGTTTTGAGCTTTAAGGTTGTGAAATATTTTGATTTTACTAAGTTAGCTAAAATGGAGGATGGTTCTGAGATCGATTAACGGTCAGATAGATATAGGTTCTTCCGTGGTTTTTTGAATGATAGTCTTCACGGTCGTAGTATATGGAAGTGTGCTATTTGGTTCCGCTAAAGCTTGCACGGTTTTTCATATTGACTGTTAAAATTGAAATTTAACTGAACTTGGCACGGAATCTTGATCTAACACTAATGTGTTCATTGCGGAGAAGGATATGTAATGTAATTTTACCTCCCCGCATTTATGATTTAGAACTACAGCTTTTGCATCGATCTGAACCTCTTTAGCCTTGTTAGTCCAGTCATTATAGTAAGTTCACCTCGGAATTCAGATACCCAGCTGCAAGTCTACTCAATACTTGTATATTGACACCCTAAAAGTTGTCTCAAAACCTACATATGGTAGGGTGTACGCAACTATAAAATTTCAAGGTCAAAGTTCACAAAAATCGGTTTTTTGAGCTTTTTTTGTAAATATCTCATTTCCTATGGGTTTTTTGCTATTGGTATTTATTATCAATATTGTAGAATACAAAATTCTCTACAAAAAAGAAGATGATTAAAATTATAAATTGTTGTTTTTGTACCCTTTATTCCATTTTTTTACTTTTAATAAAAATAAATGTATTGAATGATATTTTTTAATATATTTTTTATATTTTTTTTTTTATCATGTAAGAAGTTATTAATATTAATAAGGTTTAAATTATTATTAACATTAACAATTCTGCAATTTCATGGGCAGGTAAGTGTTGTTAAATAAATTAATACTGAATAAAAAGTGGATAGGTTAGGAAAAAATGATAAAATATAATATAATAGTTAATAAAAATTGACAAATATTTATTATCATTGATTTATCGATAGTTCATCAACTATATATGGCGCGTTTTTGATCGGAGGCACCGGTTGACCTGAAGTGATGCTGTGACCGCGCGCTCTAAATCAAAATTTGTAGAGAATTTTGTATTCTACAATATTGATAATAAATACCAATAGCAAAACACCCATAGGAAATGAGATATTTACAAAAACAGCGCAAAAAACCGATTTTTGTGACCTTTGACCTTGAAGTTTAATAGTACAAGTATTTACAGACTTACAGCTGGGTATCTGAATTCCGAGATTCTTACCTAATTTAAGCTTAAATGACTGGACTATTTAAAAGTCATACCCAATATTAAAAAATCAAGACAGAAGTTAAGCTAAAAAAGTATGATATCGATGCATGGCTTTTCGCCTCCTAAATATTCAGCATCTGTATCTTCTTCATCAAATCCCCCCGTCTTTCCTAAATGATGAACCCTCTAAGTCCTTGGGATATCACCTACCTACTTTGAGAACTTGTTAGATCTCCAGGTTTTTTTTCCTGCCAGCTGTCTATAAGGTTTTTGTGTAATTTCTCTATTTTCTTGCACCTTTAGTTATTTATACTTCAATTTCGAAATAAATATCTTAGTAGTTGTACGTCGTTAATATCATCCTTGGTATTCTCCTCCGTTGTCGGCAGTTAATTATTTCTACGTTTTTTGGCTATAAATTTCTTCTTTCATTCATAGTAACTCTCTTCTTCTGCATATAAGGATTTTTGGATACTACTTATTTACAACTAAAGAAGGGCTTAGCTCAGATGTAGTCGAACATTTTATACTACACATTCTACTAAAAAATGTTGCGAAAGAAGTAAAAATTCATTATTCGACGAAAGCATGAATAAATTACAATCAAGTTTGGTATTTTATTAAGTTATATTATAGGTCACTGACTCAATTAGTTTTATGACTATATTTTATTTCCCGTCAGCAAAAATTATATTAAAATCAGTATCAAATTAGATATATCTGACATAAACTTAACCTAATTTAATATATTGAGCTAATGTGCAAAGTGTCAACCAGAATAATCGAATTGATGATATTAGGGATATGAGATTAGGACCAAGGTCTAGACCAACTCCAGTCATGTTCAGCGGAAAGAATAATAGATTAATTATAATAACGGAAATTATTATATGTAGTGTAATATAATTTCACATATTTTCGGCATTAAACTAAAGTATATGCAATAATAGATGTAATCAGTTTGAGAAGATATCTTACATATTAATCTACGTATCTATACGGTATAAGGCCAACCGTAAGTTTGAAAATCGTTTATTAAGTATATGAGAGATAGGTGTAGTATTATCGTGATGTTATCTATTTTTGACATTACTACCTATTATTAACAAAAACAGAAGCCCTCTGAGTTTCATTAAGGTACCTCACATACCATCACCAATATATAGGGAGTAAAGTCAACCGATATTAAAAAAGTTCGACAAAACTGTGTTTTCCAGTGTTTCCGAAGGCACCTAGGAACCCTAACAGCGGTTAGTCGGAAACGTGCTTTGAGTGCATAGCTCAGTGCAAGTATATACAAAAAGAGCAAATTAAAATTATATATCTCACATATTAAGCAATATTTGGCAATATTGACTTTGACTTAACATCGTGAATATTTATATTAAGAGAAAATAATTCACACAAAACAATACTACATTTTTGTTTCACTCGATCAATTGGCACTCCCACAAAATATCATATCAAGGTATCATTCGGTACAGAACAACGCTGAAGTTGAGTCTAACACATCAGTGTAATACTATGTTCGCACCGACGCAAAATTCGTGTTTTCATAGACAAAAGAGGTTTTCAGGCGAAAACTTGTGTTTTCATCCATACAAAATCTGTCAAACGAAAACACAGTTTTCGCTGAAAACCCCTTGAAAACTTACATTCCCCTCATTATAATCGCTGCCTGCCCTAGTTTAATCGATATTATTATAAGACATATTTTGCCAGCAATAAATGTCAGTTGACAATTTGTTTACATTCCATAATTGGCTTAAACGTACCCTACAAGAAACTGCTGATGGGTTCACCAATACACTCACATTTGATATGTCAGTACAGTTAATTTACATTTGCATTTTTAAATTCAGAACTATTCACTGATTGGAGAAAGACGTACGGAGAGCTATCGAGAGGAGGTGATGGCACCCTACAAAAAACTGCTGATGGGTTCACCAATACACTCACATTTGATATGTCAGTACCGTTAATTTACATTTGCATTTTTAAATTCAGAACTATCCACTGATTGGAGAAAGACGTAGGCAGAGCTATTGAGAGGAGGAGACGGCATCAAGTGAAAATTTATTTTTATATTTTCATATATTATTATATTTTTTGTTGCATTCCTTTTTATATTTAAGTATATTATTATAACTAATTTTGATTAAAAGTTTGAAATTTATTAAAGAAATAAAAATTAGGTAATACTACTGCGCAAAAGAATTTTTCACTTCTGATAGCGTTTCAGTCATAACTGACAATTTTCAGCTATGACGGATTTATGGTCAGCAATGACTCAGAAAAAACAAAACAAACAAACAAAAAGAAAACAAGGATCTTAAGAAAATGATAGAAACTTTGTTCTGCGCGCTGACAAAATTTTTTCAGCTATGACTGTCATATTACCCATCAGATGACCGTCACTGTTCTTGTAGGGTACATAACAAATGTAAACAAATAGATGTATGAACCGTCAATGAAAACTCATCGAAAACACATAATGTCGGTCAGAACGACTTTGGTTCCACAATCCACAAATTGTGTTTTCAAGAGGATTTCAATTCGGTGCGAACATAGTATTAGAAGTTTTAAAAAGTGATAGTATTGAGATAGTACAGCATAGAGATGGAAACATTAAATTAAGGATCGATCCTCAATTCCGATTTCCGATTTAAATGATAAAGCACAAGTTAAGTAAGAACTTTGTCTTACTCACTTGTTGTTCTTGTGCGATTATAATTAGCAACAGTTAATTCAATTTTGTGTGTTTGATTGAGATGTATAATAAACTAGTCGTAATATGCCGTTATTATAAATATTTCAGCTGCTTCGTATATTTATTACACTGGACATAAGATCCATTATTCACGTTTTCAAAATAAATCCACACGGCGCTAGGCTATGTTGAAGAAAATTTAGTTGTAAATATTTAAATAATAAATTGTGCGTATAAATTAATATATATTTGTATGACTTTCTATCACACGGTTTGTTGTGATATTATAATGGTATGTAGAACTTAAACCTAGTTACCTAACAGTAAAATCGAAAGTCAAAAATCAATTCTTGTTTGATTTCCGAAGGTAAAGGTCGACTCCGAAACATCGATTATCGAGTAGAGTCGGAATTGAGTTTTCCATCCCTAGTACAGCAGGGACACTGCTCAACCAACTTGAACAAAATATCATAAGGAAATTAAATACTCAATGTTTGTTTTCCAAGGCACAATATTAAACTCCATCAGATTATATCACTTTAAAACTTTGCACAAATATGGCATTTCAGGTGTAGCGCCTCTCTTGTAGCATAATCAAAATAGAGCGAAACTTTTTAAGCTTTCAAATATCGAATATGGGGACTTTAGTGTTCAGGGCAGGCTTTATACCGAAAATATTAGTAAATTTATCGGTCAATATGTAACATACATATATATATATATATACAAAATTTAGAGAACACATATAGGTTTGTATGTATGTTTACAAAATTCCAAAGCAACTGAAAAAATAATTGGCAGGTCAACGCAGAAACATAAATGTAATTAATTTGTTGTTTAATTGTTTTGAAAAAGCCTAATTTGAATTAAATCAAATTTATTTGTTCGATGAAAAAAAAAACAGATATATGAATATAAATTTTGAAATTTTAAATTATTGTGTTGATAGGGACCTAGTAAATATATTGTAAAGGAGTTCTCGATAAATCGTCTACCTTGTAACTCACTCTTGACTTCGACCAGTGGATTGTTAAATAGAAGTCCCAATTTAAGGCTATACACTTATCTTTATTTTTAATTCCAGCAACTTAACACTTATTGCTCGTTATTCGAGCTTACAACTTATTGCTTATAGCTCAACACTATAATTAGAACTGTGTTTGCTGTACAATTCGGCAGCCGTTATATATAATATTAAATTGTTAACAAAACTTCGGTACTGGAAGATTCTGGCAACTACGAATTTCGCTATCTATTGTAGTTGGCTCTAGCACTTTATTGTCGATTCCGATTTGTTTTGGTATTCGTGTTGGCTACTATATTAATAGACAAAATAGATATACCACATGAAAATCAAAAAAATTCATTAAATGATATTATAATAAAATATTATCAATTGTATGCCTTATTAGATCTTTGAGCCATACATATCAAACATACAGCCCTATACCGAGAAAGCCTCACAATTAATTTGTGAGGTTTATTTTATGAGGTTATTTTTGCTTGAACATCATGAAAAAACTTAAAAGAGTCACCGCAAGAGGTGAAAAGCATTTTGCTACAGTAATTTTGCAAATTTACTAATTCGACTTTTCACACATACGCAAAACCAATATTCAAATCAGCTGTTTTCTAATATGACAAAACTTGCAAAAGAATAAATTTGGAAGCGTTTGATAAATTTATAATACTGAACTTTAGCTTTTATTTTATTGAAAAAAGAAACGAAAGAATTAAAAGGAAGACATTAATATGCATATATAAGTATATACAGAAAATCCACTTGATGCACCAGGGGAACCGCATGTGAAATGTGGCTGGCATTTACAGCGTCCTGAGTTGAAAGGGGAAAAGCTAACTCCGACCAACCCTCAATAGCCGCAGACGTTATGGTCGGAGTTAGCAGTATTGAGGCAAATGGCACAAGCGCTAACGACGATGACAACGGTGCTCATTAAACTTTCTTATAAATTGAACAAACAAGGTAAGCTAATTTTATACTCTTGAAAACTTACGCACTAATACATAGTATATTAATTTCTCTATTTTGCAGATCACAAAACATCAACTGTCATCTAGTGAGAACTATTTCATTGTGGTCTTATTTTACTATTTTTCTTTACTAGAGTTTTCTCATATAATAAACGTAAGTTATTATTACGTTTCAAATAAATTATATGTTTAGTTAATCTTTATTTTTATTTAGGCATTTTAAATTCCGAAATATTCATGAACTGGAGAAACACGAACAGCAGAGCTTTTGAGAGGAGCAAGCATGGAATTAGGTGAAAATTTCTTTTCATAATTTATTATTTAATTATATTTTTGTTACACTCTGTTTTTATATTTATGTATATTATTATAACCAATTTTTGTTAACAGTTTTGAATTTATTAAAGAAATAAAAATGATATTATCTACTGCGTAAAGAATTTTTCACTTGTGATAGATTTACAGTCATAACTGACAAATTGCAGCTATGAAAGCGTTTCAATCATCACTGTGTTTGCACAAGGCTCTTAAGGAAATGATAGAAAGTTTGTTCTACGCGCTGACAACATTTTTTCAGCTGTGGCTGTCATACAACCAGTCAGATAACTGTCACTGGTCTTATATGGAAAGTAGGTCAATATGTTTGTATTGTTAAATGTTGAATGCATGTGTATTGCATGCATATGTTTCTTTTGTGTTTGTTTTGTATTGTCTTGTTCTGTCTTATATGTGTTCTTATAATAGTTGGGATTACCTGTTTTCGCATAAATATTATAATTCAAGATCTTTGACAATGCTACAAGTATTATTACATATCACATACGTATAAATAAAATAACTGAATTATTTAAACATAGATATCTTTTAATTCATACTTAGAAGGAAGTAAAATGTACAAATACCGTAAGTTACAAATGTACATATTTTATGTAATAAAAAAAATACTTACATATTAGTCTATGGTATCTATAATAGATAACGCCTTTGGAAATATGTCTATTATAAAGACATGATGTAGCGTGATCTAACTCTAGCACCATCCCTAAAATTGGGATTTTCTGCAGCTTCGATGGCAATTTCGCAGGTTCCTCTATTCTATTTCAATCAAATATTTACAAATTTGTTTAAAAATATTAAAAAACACACAAATATTTGTTTATTGTAAGGGTTGCTTTCAGACAGTAGCATATGGAAACCCTCGCAAAATTCAAAAACCTGAAAATAGTGAGAATGGTGAATAAAGCTGATAGAAAACTAATCGGCAAATACACCAATTTCAAAAATAAGTAGGACCAAACAACACAAACTCACGAAATAACCCCACAATAAAATCAACAGAAACTAAAAATAACAAGATCGAACCGACCTTACGGAAATAGGCAAAAACTCCTCTCGAACCAGAAATTCTTACATGAGAACTCCAAATAACTCCATGGAAATAGATACACTTAAAAAAACTCAATAGAAACGGCACACTTTAATAGTAATTTCTAAATTTACACAATGATAAATACTCCACCATAATTGGTAGAAACCTCTTAATCCAACATAAAGTAGATATATGGTAATTAACGGAAAAGATTATGCTAAAATTCTCGGAAAAACATTTTATTTCGAAAAATTGAATACATAATATTAACTTTGATATCAAACATCTCAATAATAAAGAATTGCATAAAGTTATTGCTCTACTGAAGAATTTTCACGACTTATTTTTTAAAGAGGGTGACATACCATCAGCAGCAAATAAAATTTGTCACGAAATAGTGACTACAACCGAAATCCCTTTATATTCTAAAATATATAAATATATATATATATATATAAAGGATCGATAGACAAATTAACGACATGTTGGAACATGGCGCTATTAGAAAGAGCGACTCACCCTATAATAGCCCGCTATGGGTCGTCGAAAAAAAAGCTTGATTATTCAGGAATAAAAAAAAATACCGCATTGTCATCGACTAAAACAAATTTAACGAATTTACAGTTGACGATAAATACCCAATTCCGTATCTTAATTTAATACTAGACAACCTAAGTAGAGCACAATATTTCAGCCCTCTCGATCTCGCTAAAGGATGCCACCAAATTTTGGTGAAAAAAGACGACATGGCTCAAACTGTTTATTAAACTCCGAGAGGACACTTCGAATTTATTACAATGCCATTCAATTTTAAAAAATCATATAAATGAAATATGTATCGTTTATATCGACGACATTTTAAAACTCAGTACTTAATTAACTGGCTGATATTTTCTTCAAAATCGAATCATTGGGTATGCAATTTTTGCATAATCCCGAATAAACTTTCGATAAAACTCGGCCATACCGGGAAATGATTTTATTTGTTTGGAGTTTGGTGGTAATTTTAGATTTTGTAACATTGTTACTTTACAAGTATTTGGGTTTGGTTTTACTCCTTGAGCGGACAGGATATGACCTAAAAATTGTGTAAGTAAAGTTAAAAAGTATATTCAAATGTTTAAGAAAAGCAAAACTAAATACTCAAATAGGTAAATGTGACTTTTTGAAAAAAGAAGCACAATTTTTAAGTCATATCCTCAAGGAGTAAAACTAAACCCAAAGTTACTTTTTAAGTTATTCAAATGTTTAAGAAAAGCAAAACTAAATATTCAAATAGACAAATGTGACTTTTTCACAACGAATTCAATAACATAAAAGTAAAAAAATTCTTTGATAAAGAGAACATCAAGTCATATCGCTTAACCAAACAGTCATAGAGGCAATAGTGACATAGAAAGATTGAACAGCACAATCACAGAAAAAATAAGAACATTAAACTTAGAAGAATCGTCAAAGTCTATCTACAACAATACATTTCATAGGACAATAATATGCATCCCACTAGAAGTAAATAACCACACTATCAATCTCACAATAATTTATGAAAGACTATGTCAAGAAAATCTAAAACAAATCGACAAAATACATCAGAAGAGAAAGGAATGTACAGAAAATAGACGAGAAGGTTACATTATAGAAATCTCAGACAAAAAAACAACCTGCATTCAAAAAACCAAAATTAGAAGGTATGAAAAGGACATTTAAGCATGAAAGCTGTCAGCATTCATAACTAGCATAGAATATATATAAAATCGTTCAGACAATTAAGAAACAACAATCATATCCATAACATATACTATTAATACTAATGAATTAATCGAAGTTGTAAACACACTATTTGAATACATACATACTGAAACAAAGGTCAAACTCATTAGGAAGGTTTTCTCAAACATAGCTCAAAATTACAAAAATCAGGTATGTTTCAGCGAAAGGTTTATATTGGCTGCAAATTAATCATTTGATTGAAAATAAGATAGTCGGCGAATTAATGACACACAAACCGGTTGATTCCGTTACTAATCAAGATAAGATTATCATCTTAAAATTTTCAAAGAACAATCGGACCGATATCATAATGCCTAGCATTTTTAATATGTAAGTAGTTTGATTTACAAATATTTCAAATCACTGAAGGTATGTAGGTATACGAACCAAACTTACTTAGGACGAATCCTACAACCACGGCTTCTTCCCATATACCACAATTATAATTGAGTGCCTATGGCTGACTTTATATCAAAAATATGTGCCAATATGTGAGATATATTTTCGAAAATCAAAGAGAATATTTTTCTGGCCCTTGTACCAAAAATGGATCAAATCGGGTCAATATACCCCCTTGCCGCCATATATAATATCTATACAAATGTTAAAACATATTTTTCTGATAATAACATATACTGATGCTAAAAATGGATAAAGGTTTGTTCAAAAAGTATCACGAGTTTTGTATTTCTAAAGAAAGTTTTATTCCTGGATATCTATTTTCTCCCCTTCAAAGGAATCACCTCTATATATAATGCACTTATGGCAACGTTTTCAAACCTCAAAGCACTTAAAAGAGTAATTTTTCAATCTTGTTCAGTTCCTCCTTCGTTGCAGTTTTTATTTCCTCAATCGTAGCATAGCGTCGTCCTTTCATGGGCCTCTACAGTTTTGAGAACAAAAAAGTCACAGGGGGTCAGGTCTAGGGAAAACGGTGGCTGCGGCATTATTAATGTGTTTTTTTTTTTGGTCAAATACAAGGCTTGTTCAAAAGTTATCGCTAATTTTAAATGTTCACGGGCTACGTGCATCCCATCTTCACTGATATCTACTTACCTAATAGTGTAAGTGCATTATAACTAGGAGGGATTACTTTGAAGGCGACAAAATAGATATTCATAAATAAATAAACACTTTTTTAAGAAATACGAAATTAAATACTTTTTGAACACCATATACATATATATATATTCTTAATGATTTCCGATTATCTAGCTTACTTTTTTCTCATATGCCTTTTGGTTAAATATCTACATATTAAATTATTCTTATCTGAGTTAATAAAGAATCACAGACAACGCAAAACAATAAAACGAAGTGAGTCTACTACCCTATAATACAAGTTAATGAGATTACAAATATGATTGTAATTCATGTACGGTGTCGAATAATGAATTTGTTGATCCTAGAAAATGGCGACAGTAAAAAATCTTCGGTTACTCCCTTCCTTGTATTGTATATTATTGAGTGTAGTACCCTCAAACTGGTAAAGTAGTATAAATGACAATGTTATTTAAGTATTGAAATATATAAAATATGGAACTTTATTTTTCTAAAAATAAATTTGTTCAAACCAGTAGATTTTCTACTAAACTGTTTGGTAGAAGTTACTGACGGATATCAGTTAAAATAATCATCTTTTATGATTTATGAAGAGCGAAGCAAGGCAGAAGGGACCCGAAATGTTATAATTAGGACTACGCAAAATATTATATAAAGAACTAGTAGTGAAACAGGTAATAATTGAATTTAGCTAGCTAATTGCATAGTTTGCGAACATGTCAACGTATCTTGGCACTTGTTAGGTTTGCTACCCAAAGCTGAATAATGTCCAAACAAAAAAGCTTGTAGGAAATGCAATATACAACCCGACGCCTACTTTGAGAGGTCATGGTTTTGTAAAAGGTAGGAGAATAATTGTATTAAATAACAAGAAGCCTTCCGGGTGGCTATTAAAACTGTGGAAGGTATTGAAGATATCTACTCCATGGTGAAGAGCCTACCGAAGTTATGTGACAATAAGCTGTGCCAAGGGAAGCTGTAATGTTTACAGAGTCCATCCGGGGGAGGTATTCCATCACGACAGCACGCCGGAAGAGGGTGTTATATTATTTAC